CATATACACACATATAAGACTTTCTCATGACACAGCGGTATAATGTGGTAAAGGGAGACTTTAGCTGGGAATCAGACTTGAACAGTCTGAAAACAAGTACATTTCTGCTCTCTGCATATTTTGGTAATTCATATTATTTACAATACCCAATTATGTACTTTATACCTGCTATATTGCATATTTAATTTGCATGATTGCATTTTTTAAATAAAAAAACAGCCAACTGTTTAATTTCAGTTTTGCTGGCATGTACCTTCGTTTTCATTCACTAGTGTTTGCATGCAATGTTGTTGCCCAGTATCCCCGGACAGTTTATTTACAGACAGCAACAGAAGCCGGATGGGGAATCCTTAATTTAGGTCAGTGTTATATATGTCTACTCACCAATAAATTAAAAGCGTATTTTATCTTCTGAAGGCAGTCCAAAAAATCTGATTCTGGAATAGCAGTTTTTCCTTTTCAAACAGAAAAATAGGGGAAAAATACATTAGATTACTTTTTTATTATTCATAGTTTAGTGGTCATATAAACTGTTCTGCTTTTGAGACAGGGTAACTATATTCCAACTAAAAATAAAATGCTGTCCCGAAGCTATTCCCGTCGCAAACGACAGATTCCCTGTCGGCTGATGTACAGTATGTCAACAAACCTGCCGAGGATCCTGGGGGATATCATTGGCCAAATAAAGTCATGACCATATTCAAAGATTTGGAGTCAAAGACTTCATCCAGGATCCCTGGCTGGTTTGCTTAGAAACAGAGGTCAGATGGGGACCTGTCATTAACGGTGGAAGTGCTACCTCCAATACATGACAGATTGAACTGGCCAGATGTGGGCAGTTTGCTCAGCCATTCATTAAATTTCGAACAGGCGAAGTTTGGGTTAAAATCAGAGCTTTAAGACTGATCATGGCTTCACTGTTTACTGAGTTTTCTGGGAGTCCAGAGTTTGAGTTATTATTGTAGTTTTACACTAAAATAATGTATATTTAACCTTTTTCTGGACTTGCATTACAAAAAAAAATATTGCAAAACAGCAAAACGCTGAAAGCAGTGCCAGTATGTGCACTGAGTAAATATGGTTACAATTATGCATATTAAGCTGATAAATTGTACATATTTATCTAAACACGTGAGGTGAATTTGTAAAAACTGGAGCAGACAGAATTTGTAGCAGTTGCCCATGACATCCAATCACTTTCTAGCTTTCATTATCAAAGTTTAATTGAACAAACTAAGGATAGAAGCTAATTGGTTGCATATGCAGGTGCTCCAGATTTTAACTGCTTCAGTTTTGATAAATTCCCCCTACTGTATCTAAATACAAAGCCATGCATGCATATTTAATTCACTCACCTTTTTTTTTCTTTTTATATAAATCCAAATTTCCAACAAATATTTCGATATCACCAAGAACATGATTTAACACTTCCTGAAGTAGAGAAAAGTAAGAGTAAAAAACCTTGCATGGTATTATAAGCAATAACTTATTACTATTGTCAATCCTTGTAAATGCAGAAATGCTAGACAGAGGTATTACGAAAAATTGTTATCTCATAATTACCGTAATTTTCCTTTCCTGGCTCCTCCTCATGTCAGCCTACAATGGGTCAACTTCGCCCTCTTGACCCCCCCTTAGCACACTCCCTCAAGAGCATAAAACACCCCTATCACAACCAACTAGTGTTCATTAACTAGTTCTCGCGATGGCCAAGGGTGGGATCGCCTGGCTGACATGAGGAGGAGCCAGGAAAGGAAAATTACGGCCTCCTGGCCCTCCTCATCTCAGCCTAGGATGTAATAGCAATATGTAGGGGGGGAGGGGGGGAACAATAGCATACAACCTGTGACTCAATGCACAATCAACATATATATTTATTTAGCGAGAGCTGTAGAAAGTATGGAAAATCCCAGTACACTCTCTGGACTAAATCTGACAACCAACTTATAATGTTTAAGAAAAGTGTTAGGCATGCTCCAGCTTGCGGCTTTACAAATCGTGCCTACAGGAAGCTTGGCAAGGCTTGCCCATGACGCCACCATCCCTCTCGTTGAATAAGTCCTGATCTCTGATGGAGGAGAAAACCCCCAAATGTTGAGGGTATTGCCAATGCAATTGTCATGACGATCAAAGAGGACAGCACTCTTGGTCCAGCCGCTTGGCCTTTCCTTGTGCCTCCTGGAAGTACAAACAAGATTTCTGCTGTGCCAAACTGTGCTGTTCTTTCCAGATACACAGAAACACTGTAGACCAGGTCTAATGTTTTCCATTCCTGTTCTTCCTCTGGAACCTGTATTGCTTCAATTTCCCAGTTGAAATGAAATTCGGACGATACTATCGGTAGAAAAGTGTGTACAGGTCGTAGTACAATCCTGTTTGGTAAGAGCATGAGAAAAGGCTCCTTCATGGCAAGCGCCTGCAATTCCAACACTCTTCTATCAGTAGTAATGGCAAGGGGAAAAACTGTTCTTAAGGTGAGGTGCCACAAGGAACATGATTGTATTGTGGTCGAGGTAGAGGGTGAACTGGCCCTCTACGAGACAGAGTGACGCCTGATGCTGCCAGGATCGCTGCAGCACAAGGATGTGGCATCATTATTATTATCATTATTATTATACAGGGTTTATATAGCGCCAACAGTTTGATCAGCGCTTTACAATATAAGGAAGACATTACAATCACAATACAATTCAAGACAAGATGGTAAGGAGGGCCCTGCCCGTGAGGGCTTACAATCTAAAAGGGAGATTAATGGCAGGTATGGCACTGTGAAACAGGAGGCCCTCCAAACGGGGGAGGCTGAACCCGGACAGGAATCCAACTCCATGTACAAATTAAGTCTCCGACATCTTCCTGAGCGAGGATAAAAACAGAACACTGGTTGGTTGTGATAGGAGTGTTTTACGCTTTTGTGGGGGTGTCCTAAGGGGGGTCAAGAGGGCAGAGTTGACCCATTGCAGGTTGACATTACAACAAATGTTAATAAATAAATATTTATACATTTTAATCTGTGCCTTTTTGCAAAACAGTGAAAATCAAAGTTAAGCACAGTATATGTATTATATACTCAAAAAAAGTTTTTCCTTAACATACCTTAACATACACTTTAGCCTGTTGCCACAGGCCATAGGCATATATGTGGAGACACAGTCCCACATCCTACTTCCTCCTTCCCGCTCAGCCCTCCAGATGGCCAGCGAAGTACAATGTGAGTAGGTATTCTCTTGCTTCCCTTCCCCCCTCTACTGCCCTGTCCCTCTCCCCCCCCTTTCTTTCCCCCTCTCCCCCAATCCTCTTGGGATTTGTAGTAGGAATTTTTACACTGAAGCAACTGCCTGAGGTCCCGTGCATCCTGGGAACCTAGGCAGCCTTCCTGTGAACTTCAGCGCCTGCTTACAGCGCCAGCTGCACATCTCCTCCTTCTTATTGGGTAACCACCCCGCCCATACCCGCTCGTGAGACCCTCTGGACCCCTGGTTAGACCCCCACACAGCCCTCCTGGGACCCCACACAGCCCACCTGAGACACCACACAGCCCTCATGAGACCCTGGAGACATCAGCCACCCCAGAGCAACACAGGGTATTTAGCTTCATATAATTCTGCATTGCTGGCATTTGTAGTCCTCCATAGCTGGTGGTATTCTACATTGAACTATATTGTTTCATTAGGATTGGTATTCTGCATTCAGAATATGACCAGCCATACAGGACCACAAATCCCAGCAATAAAACATTATACAGCAAATCAGCTATGCTGAATACCACCAGCTGCAGACCCCCTCTTCCCCCTTCCAGCTCTCACCCACCCAGACATGGAGTGCCAACCTCACCTAACGACTCCTGCAGCACCTTCTTCCAGGTGGCCCGGGGCAGGATGGAGTGCAGGAGAAGGTCCTCAGCATCTCCCACACAGCAGGATGTGCTGCCTGGCGGTGCGGCTCTGCCTCCTATGTTCACACCTCTCCATCCCCGCACAGCCGCCTGTGCAGGCAGCGGTTCTTCTACTGTGTGTGTCAGAGTGGCAATGGAGGGAGGGATCTGCCACTGACATGTACTGTACATATGTGCAATGGGCCCACAATGTAGGCATGCCAAACTCATTTATTTCTGCTTTTCCTTATCTACTTTAGTAAATTGGGTCCAATGTCTTGTGTTACCCTGGGGTCTCTCCTAGGAACATTGCTCTTCCCCTCAGATCTCTTTCTCAGCTTGGACTCTGTTTATTGAATACAATTATTTTCTCAATTAAACCTACTTGTTACCCTGGGGTCTTTAACATATACTTCTGTCAAATAATGCATTATATCCCCCTCCAGCTGTTAAGGCACAGCTTCTTATGGTTGCCAGAAGCAAGAAAGAACAAAAGAACAAATATGCACCTCTTTGAATAAGTGTGTAACCCAAAAATTAAAATGATCAGTTGCAACAGTTCCTGCTGTGGATCTGCAACTATCCAGAAGGGAAGTATGAAATCCACCCCCCCCCCCCCCCCCCCCCGGGCACGCTGGGGGCGCGGCTCACGTGCGATTT